AGAAACATTGCTTAGTAAGAGTTCTACAAAGAAAGAAGCCAAAAGATAGATAGGAGTATATATACCTCAGAGAAAGTTGCTGTAGTTTGAACCACTCGGTTAACTAGCTCTTTTTGACAATTGTTGTACTCCTCAAGTACCTTTTGGTACTGGTCGCCCAACTTCATAAGCTTCGTGTTAGTGAATTTCACTCCATCCTTTCGGGTTTCAAGGACAATAAATTGGGTGGAGAGCTTTTTCCTTACTTTGGGCTCTTCTTTCTTTGTAATTCTGAGAACATGTCCAAACTGTGTGCCCTTATCTAACTTTAAGGCTTTGTCTACTTGCAAATCAAGATCAATAGCTGTTTGTTTATGTAAATTGTGTATTTGGCGCTCTAGTGACTCCTGCTCATTTTTAAGTGCAGCTAGTGCATCATCATAGCTAGGTGAAATCATGTATTCCCCATTTTCAAGCTGATCTAGGTCGACAGAAGTTTCAACAAGAGCAATGAACTTGTTCAAATGATCATCACCAGTCAAGAGCTCAAAAGGATCGAGATACCTTTCCTTGATCAAGGATGAAAACTGTTCACATTTTTCCAAGGAACTTTTAATGTAGGGAATTCTTATACTTAACTGCACCCAGAACATGAAACAAGGCAAACAAGACAAAATTTCAAATAAAATATAAAGAAAATAAGAGAAACGATATACACTCTCTTAACACACTGAACCACATAATTCTAAAAATACTGTCAAAAGATAACATAAAAAGTTAAATTAAAGCACAACCTTTGAGCAAATAATGAGTAGAAATAGTAAAAACTATTTAATAAAACATGAATCAGCAAAAACTTACTAACTTTGGTCTTGATCAGATCTTTGACCAAAGAGATGACAGTCAAAACAAAGGAGTGTTGATGGAGAACATTGACAACAATAATAGCATTTTTTGGTGCATGGAAGATGACTCCCTTGTTAAGGAGCCAATTCCTCTGCAGTAGCTCTTACAATGGATATGCAGACATCTGATACAGTGAAATATTAGGGTTTTAACTCACCTGATAAAGCTTTACAATATGCTGCAAACCAGCACTTCTTCTTTCGACGTTTCGCATAAGTCGTTCAATATCTGAAATTCTTCTTAGATGCTGTCTCAAATTTTGACGAAGCTCGGTATCCTCGACAAATGCTTGCACCAAATCAAGCCTTGAGTTTATCTCTCTTACGTCTAACAAAGGCTGTTTTAGCCACATATGAAGCAACCGCTTACCCATCCCAGCAGTACAGGTTCTATTCATAAGACCAAACAACCTAAAATTTTTGTTTGCATCAGTTTTGCTTTCTAGGACATTCAAAGCCTTCATCGCAGCAGAATCTAATCTCATGTAGCTACCCAGGTTGTACCTCGAGATGCTATAATTTCTGTAATTGCCTTCATCTGCTAGTAATTTAGCATAAGATAGTAAGGCTCCTAAAGCAGCCGGTGCAAATTCAAACCCAGAAACCAGGTCTCGAACTGGTTCAATGGAGCCTTTGACTAGCCTACCAAGATCCTGCATCAGATCCCTAGCTTTAAACTCAGTTTTCTTTCTCTGAGTTACCATAACGCCACATCTGATCAAAGCATCATTCAGAGTTTTACATTCACTGGACTTTCCAATCTCCATGGGCAAAAGGCACTCCTTGCAACCAAGAGCAACCAAAGCCGACTCCACATTAGTAAAGTGACTATCATCAAGAAACTCAGCCAAACTAAGTATTCTCTTTGTTAAATCAACATAACCAAACCCAACAGTGCAACCATTTTCATGGAAGCTAGGAAGCAGTGCAACAATAAAAGGTGTGTCCTGCATCTCATTGTTGGCAAAGAGAGCATCTTCAAAACTGCTCAGATTCCCAGGGCTGGCACTTTTCACCAACCTCCAATTGGAGCCACTACCTTCATAGAGCTCTAGAGTGTGGTCTGTTCTCTCCAGGAAAAGATCACGGGTGATTGTTTCAAACATATTTTTATTAATACTTACACTTGAAAGGCCATTAGAGCCACTGCCGAGTTGCCGGAGAGCAGTAGTAGTATGATAATATGTATTAGCAATAAAGGTTGCATTTTTACCATGAGCAGTATAATAATCCTGTACATTAAGAAAAGATTTTTTGGAAATATGGCACATACAAAAAATAAATAAATAAAAACTAGCATTACATGAAAGAATGAATTGATAAAAGTTTTAGAAACCTAATAATACACACATATATATTAATCTAAGAACACATTAATGTCTGTTTGTATAGTTTTACAGGAAGCATAGGACATTTACGAATTCTGACCGATGGTGTAGGCCAGACAAGATGGACAAGTAGAAGGGAAAAGGTACATACATAAAAATGGGTAATTAAGAATGGAGCATTGCAAATTGCAATATTGTATAGCATGACTAAATAAATTTGAAATATATTTCCCACACTGCCTATGTTGTTAGGTTCATCGTTGAAAAATATTATTTTCCCCCTAAACGTCAGTAACATAAACATATATTACATACATGCATATATATCGTAATTTCCTCAAGAACAGTTATAAGCATACCAAATTTCTTCTAAGACACCTCTAGTAGTTACATTCCATATTTCCATTTCTTTTTTATATATTAAGAAATAAAATTATTGAAGTTCAAAGACAAAGCAACTGACATTTGTTAATGATGGATGAAAAAAAGCACCCAATTCTAAGTCAATTATTTAAAAGATAATAATAATTGAAGTGAAGACTGTTAGTATATTGAACTGAAAGCCTGAACAAACCCGGCGATCAAAAAACCGAAGAGCTCTTGGATCCTGTAAAGAAAGAGTACAAGTGATCAGGGAAAGGGAAAATAGTTCAAATTAAGTAATTTTTTTCCAAACAATATTAGATATTAACATCCCCCCCCCCATTTCCCCCGTTCTTGTGTGGCTTCGTTATATAAGTAAATAGACAATAAAAGAAGACCCAGAATTTATAATCTAAATTTCCAATAGATGGAGAAAGAAAAGAGGGCTTATATTCGGTAGAGTTTTGAAGAATGAGAGAAACCCTTGAGCCTGTTTAGCGTCTGTTAACAGTAAACCAAAAAAAACAGAAAAAAGTGGTTTAATCAACCATAAATTTCCTTTTTGAGAAACAAATAAAAGCATAAAAGAACTTTCTAACTGGAAAAAAAAGAGTGATTGGGTACCCAGTTTCAGCTCTGGAAGACTGTTTTGTTCATCAAAATTTGCATCCATCTTGGAAACACCTCACCAAGAAACCCAAAGGGGGGGATTGCTTCTTTTCAGCTTCAGAGAAACGATACTATACGTTTCCCGAGTCTGTAGAAATAAAAACCTAAAATTTAAGCGCCCTTTTAATGGCGGGAAAGGACTTGGCGGGGTTTGGGAAAGGGTGCGCGTCCTTTCCACTCTCCAAAACACTCTCCTCGATTCTTAGATGGAATTCATATGATGAATTCAATTTATGATTCCATATTTCTTGCTTGTGTTGAAGGTGTGGATCAAGCTGATATCTTTGGGATTCAAATTACAATAAGAATTAGGCCTTGTTTGATTTGATTAAACAATGAACAAATTTGTATGTCCATTCTAATTATGCAATGGAGTTAATTAAAAAAAACATAATTAATATTTAAATTTAATAAAAAATGCTAGGTGTTAAAAGAAAAATAAATTATATTTTTTAATGTTTATTTTTTAAAATTTTTAATAACTTTGCTTTTATGACACATTTTTCTCTATCTTTATGGCACATTTTCGGTTGTTTGATCATTGTTTCGTTTATCATTTTTCTCAGGGTTGGATTTAACATCTCCACGACTGCTCAAGACGACGCTTATTTGTTATCATCATGATATTCTCTGTTCTGGACTGTCGGATTGAATGTAGATATGCGATTTACTTTCGTAGATAGTTTTTTCACATCGCCCGACTCAGTAAAAATTGAGATTGAAAAAAAATTAAGGGTCTTAATTATAAAGGTAAAAAGTGAGATTGAAAAAATAGGGGCTTTTATTAAAAAGTGGGATTGAAAAAATTAGGGGCCTCAATTATAAATATAAAAAGTGGGATTAAAAAATTAAGGCCCTCTATTATAAAGGTAAAAAAGTGGTATTAAAAAAAGTATGGGTCTCTATTATAAAGAGAAAAACAAAATTAAAAAAATTAAGGGTCTTAATTATAAAGATAAAAAGTAGGATTGAAAAAATTGAGGCTCTATAAAAAATGGGGGCCCTGGGCAATTGCTCAGGGTGCTCCCCTTAATAGGCGGCTCTGATTATAAATAAGTGTATTCGGTTCATTTATATTCACAAGCAAGCTCGTTTATAGACTCGTTCATTCAGGTTCATGAACAAGCTCATTTAATGACTCGTTTTTAAGCTCGTTTACATTTTATTTTTTACATTTCAAATATTGATAAATATATGAATTAAATTGAATACATTGTGAAATTTAGAGTTTAAACTATGAAATTTAAAGAGTTTAAGTATTAGTGGCATAATTTTTCATTTTTAACTTGCAAACGAATATATTCATGAGTACTAAACGAACTTGTTTACTAACAACACTAAACAAACACATAAACGAATATGTTTGCAAATGTTAAATGAACATGTTTACGAATGCTAAACGAACAAACACAAACCGAACAATAACACCTTTAAAAATAAATAAATAAATACAAACACAACCTTATTCATTCAAACTCGTTTCATTTACACCCTAACACTACACTAAGTAGCTGTTTTTTTATGTCATCCTAAAATACAAAATTTTGTATTTTTAGCATTCAATCTTACAACCATTTATAAATTTGCCTCACTTTTATAATGGAGGGATTAATATGCTCCTAAAACTATTCTACAAGGACTAATTTGTGAATTTAAGCAAAAGTATAAAAATAATGAAAACTAATCATTCGAAAGACAAATCTTCTCTCCAACTAAATAAATTCACTATTTAATTTGTGATTATTATATAGACTAATTACGCGATCATCTTCACACCATATTCCTTGGCATCATTGTATTTCTCATCGATTATCCTTTTTCCCCGTTGCTCAACCGTATCGGACCCTACTGGATGCATGCCGTTTACGTAACGATACGACCATAATAACACCGCCACGGCAACAGCTCCGAAGCTGCATGCTGACAAGAACCCGGCGATGCTAACAAACAGCAAGGCGCCAATAGGGAACCACACGGGGCTAGAAACCAAGGTCAACGGCATGAAAAAGATGAAACCGAGAATGGGGGCCAGAATGAAACCGAGAAGTTGACTGGAATCTGGTGCTAGGGCCTTGACTTTCTGTAACAAAGTGTAGGACTTGGGTCTCTGGTAATAAACCTTCGATCGAGTGATTACCTCTTTCATTTTCATCCACTAACAGTCGACAATCTAGAAAAAAATAAGTCTAAATAAGAAAACCCAAATTAAATCTAATTTATCTAAAGTCATTTGATCGGTGGAAGAGTTTTAAACCCTTTTAACTTTTCTCAAATTTTTGTACGTCATTTGAGATTTTTTTTAATTTTTATTAAGCTGAAAAATAACAATAACATGCCACGTTAGATAAAACTAACGGGAGGTAACGTCAGGGACCTTATTGAAAATGAACTAAAAATTCAATGATTGTATTGTAAGTTTTAAAAGTTGAGTGACCAAAATGCAAGCATCCTAAAATTATAGTGACCATTTATGTAGTTTTCCCTTATTTAAATTCAATCTTTTATTTAATTTTCAAATCTACTATTTTAGCATTTTAATTTAGCATTTATTTCATTTTGGTCCTTTATTTATATTTCATAATTTAATTTATTTATTTTGAATTTGCATTTTACTTAATTTAATCCTTCATTTTGCATTTACATACATTATTCATACTATAATATTATAAGAATGTGTTTGGTTTGAATAATGAGATCATTCGACAGAAAGGTATTCCTATTGAGGATTCTGATATGGGATCCGATGAATTGGTAAACAAAGTTTATGATAGATGCCTGATTGAGATTCAAGGTCAATTGTTCCTGATTGACTTAATGGAGTTGCCTTTTTTTGAGAGTTTGATGTGATATTGGGCATGAATTTGTTATCTGAGCATGATAGAAGTTTGAAGTATTGAGTGAAACAATTAAAACTCCATGGGTTGAATGATATTAAAGTTTTAGTATCGAGTGAGAAAAGTGAATGCATCATTTATGTTATTTTGATACTGTTATCTCAAAAGAGGATGAGTGAAACCTTTTTGGCTTATATTGTAGACCCGAGGGTATCAAGTCCAACACTGAAGGATCTTTGTGTTGTGAAAGAGTTTACGAATGTATTTCTTAAGAAATTTCCATGTTTAACCTTAAATAGAGAGTTAGAGTTTGAGATTAAGGTTATGCACGATACAACTCAAGTGTTCATATCTACTTATCGAATACACCAACAAAACTGAGAAATTGAAAATTATTTTCATATTCAATGTCTCAAGCTCCTTTCTAAGCCAATCCCAATAGTGAAATGAAGCATCTTTGAAAGTGGGAAAACATTGTTTGGAATTGATGTTATTCGACATTGAATTTAGGGATATCATAAAGAGAAAGTTTAGGGGTTGTATGTTAAATTTGTGGAGTTTAGGGTATTTATGGTGATATGAACATTTGATTTATGTTAGGAAGTAAAAAATGAGTGGACTAGAAATTTGGGGTCCAACATTAGTCAGCAGCAGTGTTTGGCTGTATTTTTTATTGTTGTTGAGAATTAAGGTGATTACAAGCAGTATCTGTTTTAAAGATTCTCAACCATTTGACAATGAAAGCTCAAATATCTTTGCAGTCTCTGGTGCTCAAACCTGTGACCTCTAGGGATAACAATCATCCCTTTAATCAATAAGATAACTTAGTTCATGCGTTTTAAGTTTCTTTTAAGAAAGTGAAAATGAATGAAATAAAATAGATCTTTTGTAATTTACCCAAAAATAAATATAAATAAATACTGGAATCTTCAAACTTAAAAATTAAAAGTAAATGACAACCTAAGGGATCACTTTTTCATTCAAAACCATATTATTTTATTTAGAAGGCTAAACATGCAACTTCGTTGATGTCCTTTTCCAGTTACAAAACATAAAAGACCGTTACTATCAATCCAAAATGCAGCTAATTATTCTTAGATTTTACACAATTATATTTTAAATGATCCTTATTTTTATTCAAAAGCATATTTATTTAGAAGGCCAAACATGATTGTGATACTCCCCAAGAGCCCACAATGGGAAAACATTCACGTATGATGCATAGTGTAACATATTATTCTTGAAGAAAGTTCCACCCAATCCCTGTAATTTTTAATGTGATCCAAAATTTAAACACACATATACACAAATCATATGTAGTCTATGATGAGTGTGCTATATATGTATAGTTACCTGCTGGGGGAAACCACCGTTTGACAGTTGGGAATTTATCAACAATTTTGCAGCTCGATGCAGAGGTATAAGGTCCCGGTCAGCCTATTCAGAAGTATATTTGTATATGTATGGTGATTATAAAAATCTACATAGTAATATATATGTATAGTTTCTTTGCTTATTTAGAATTGTAAAATCATTGTTTATTGCATGTAAATCATACCTGGCCACCAATAATTAAACCCATCAAAGCCTGTGCAGTATTTACCAGATTTGATTCTTTTCCTTCGATGGTATATATACCTTTTTATGAATAAGAAAAAGTACAAATAAAATTAAAATATGTGTATATAATGAATAAAAGAATAAGCTATCTTAAATACCATTACCTTTCTGGGATTAGAAAGATAGCTCTCACCCTAACCACCATCTTCTCTTTGGATTTTAAGCAAAAAATCAACTCCTTTACAAATAGCTAAGCAATTTTTGTAGTTCTTCCCAGCAGCCTTAAAGCCTAATAGTGCATACCATGTGGCGTAAAAGAAGCAAAGTCCCCAACTTCCATACTTGTGATGCATACGTGGGAATTATATATGCTTGTTGTTATGGTTAAAACCCACCAAAAATGATTTGAAATAAATAAAATAATAAAGGCTCATTTATTCATTTCCAAGAACCATCTAGGTATTGTATGTTTTCAAGGAACTTTGCAGATTTTTTTATGCTATTGTCAATCTCTTTTGTTCTATGTTCTGGGTATAATTTTGTGGCAAGAACTAGTGCCTGCATGACAGATGATGTGCATTATACATGCCTGAATTTTACACAAAAATGAAAATGATTCTCATCAATATAAAATTTAGGTTTTTCATTATATGGAATAATTAATGAAATTAATTAAAGAGAAAAATAAGAATCTTACTCATGTTCGACGATTAGATCCTCAAGAAACTCAATTGGATTCAACCACTAAAAAGATAGTTGAAGGTGAAAAAATGTTTTTATTTAAGTCATAGCAGGTTAGATATATTAAGATTAGTACACATTTTAAAATGGATTATGGTTATTACCTCCCACCAAAAACTACCTCCTGCTGGCTACCAAGTTGGATAACCACCATTTATATAAAATATTTATTTAGTACACTAAAAATTATTTGTGTAGTTGAGATCGATTCTTATGTATATGGATTACTTCTAATAAAGTAATTGACTATAAATCAACAGTACAAGAGTTGATTTAAGGTCAACCACACACTATATATGCTAATTCTAAACTGTTGCATTCCTCGTACAATTTTTTCATATTCCTCTTCTACTAAGCATTCCAATACGTATGACAATGCATAAACGTTACCTGTACAGATAGAAGCAAATGGACAGTGTCAAAAATATGCTCTTTTTCCATTTTCTTTCCAACCATTTATGGTGCCATCATTGCAAAATATAGGCAACACTGCAAAACAATTAACACATTATTAAGAAATAATTTTTGTTTCATAATCAAAGTCTCACATTTAATCAAACCAAATAAAACTACCTTAAAAGCTTCTGCAGTACAATTAGAGACTTGCCATCCATGATCTCGATCAGAAAATGTCCATGATCCTTTAGAAATGTGTCTAAACATTCTTTAAAATCTCCTGGAGGATTATCCCTAACCTTCAAATTTCAACCAAGCCATCAATTTGTGGTGAAAATTGAAGTAGTTAAGAATCTCTATAAATAAGGTTTACGATTTTATAGTTTGGGGTTTAAGAAACCTGTGAGTTTTTGAGGAAGTTATGCCCCTTCATTATAGTATGTCCAATTTCATCGGATAAATTGCTAGCAAGCAAAGCTTGGAGAAAGAAACTAGCATCCCAAACTTGACTTCCAAAGCTCTGCATGGTGAAATATTGAAAATATACATACTAGTTAACTAAGACAATAATGAACAATTAAAGTCTTAATATTTTAATAAAAGTTTAACTTAATTTTAGTGTTAAATAATCAACAAACCTGCATCTTCATTCCATCTTCTGCAACCCACAAATAATCAGCAACCCTAGCAAGATGCTTTTTAAAATAGATTCTATTTGGATCTTCTACTTAACAAGAAAACATACATAAACTCTGCCCAATGTATTATTTAGTTGTTGAATAATAATCAAGTCTTAACTAATTAAATAATTAGAAAGCATTATATAATATATATTAACAAATACTATTCAAAATTAATTCTAAAACCTTTTCCACACATCCAATGGTAATATAGTGACTGCTTTCATCTTCATAATGAATGTTATCCATTGTTAATTTTAAGAGCTTTTTCTCTCAACTTATTGAAGGGCCAACGATTGAGGAGAGGCTCTACAAATGTGTAAAGACTATCCCAAAGCAATATTTGAAGCAATGTATGAGGATAGTGGAGATCTTCCTACATTCAACATCATAAATAGTTGTTATTCACACTTTCTCTGATTAACATGATATATATTATGATTATCAATTTACCTTTGCACATAAATGTCGCTTTTTATTCCAATTGATTTCATTATAAGGTTCAGTGTGGAGTTCTTCTCTTAACTGTGAAATGAGAGGTGTGATTGGACCCACAAATTGTCTTCCATACAAATACGGCATTGGCATGTAAACTAATCGACAATAACACATCATCTTTGCTGCATTGCAATAATATTGTTTGTTTTTGTTAATGGTTTCCAAGGTAAGTAATAACAACGCTGCAACAAATTGCATAGCCATACCAGCACACAAAACAACCTGCAACTGATCATAAACAAATAAACATTGCAAACCTGGATGAACGGGAAAATAAGAAGGGAGCAGCCAAAACTCTGGGGGCATTGGATTGCAGCCAGACCATTCATAAATACCCATTATCTACATTAAAGAAATATATATGAAATCATGTTTTAATGTGTAGAGATTAAGTTGGTGGTAAATAAAAGAAATATTTCATACTGCTAGCCAAGTCT